ATCTATCTATCTATCTATCTATCTATCTATCTATCTATCTATCTATCTACCTACCTATCCTATCCTATCCTATCCTATCCTATCCTATCCTATCCTATCCTATCCATCACAACACCAACTGGCTGGGGAATTCTGGGAGTTGAAGTTAACACAACTTCAAGCTGCCAACTTTGAAAAATGCTACTCTAGATGATCTCCAAGGTATCTTCCAACCCTGACATTTTATGAACTCTTTAAGCCAACATTTATCCTCATTTTTACCACCTTACTCCACGAATCTGCTGTTTACTTGTCATGTTGGCTTCCCATCGCCCAGAATTCATATGCAAAGAAATAATACCTAAAGGCCATTCCTTAATATGCAGACCCCTGGCCAGGACAAATAAATGTCTAACCTCATCAGTCGGATCATCGAATCCATATCCCGTATAAGAGTTTGGTTGCGCCGGAAAATTTGTGCCCGGGGAGTCTTTTCGTAGGTGAACCAGTCCCCATATTTCTGAACTAGTGCCGGGAGACCACTGGTGTTGAAGATCTCTTGGAAATACCTCAGGGCAAAAAGAATAATTGTCTAAGAATGAATTGCAGCTTTGAGGGATCTTGCAGAGAAGGTATTCCTTTGGATGGATGGGTTTTTCAGTTCAATTCTGGGCCTCTCCAGAGCCTCAAGCATGGAAAATACATGCTCCACTTTCTAAGTTAAAAACCATCCCTCTAAACCTCAAAAGGAAGAAAAGAAGGAAGGAAGGAAGGAAGGAAGGAAGGAAGGAAGGAAGGAAGGAAGGAAGGAAGGAAAGGAAGGAAAGGAAGGAAAGGAAGGAAGGAAGGAAGGAAGGAAGGAAGGAAGGAAGGAAGGAAAGAAGGAAGGAAGGAAGGAAGGAAGGAAGGAAGGAAGGAAGGAAGAAAAAGAAGGAAGGAAGAAAAGAAGGAAGGAAGAAAAGGAAGGAAGAAAAGGAAGCAAGGAAGGAAGAAAAGAGGAAGGAAGGAAAAGAAAGAAAGAAAGAAAGAAAGAAAGAAAAGAGAGAAAGAAAAGAAAGAAGCAAAGAAGAAAAGAAGGAAGCAACAAAAGAAGGAAAAAAAGAAAAGGAAGGAAGGAAAGAAGGAAGAAAAGAAGGAAGGAAAGAGGAGAAAATCCTTACGGCACATTGTAGCTTGCCCAGTAGCCTTCTTGGTACAAAAGTTTGGTCATGTCGGCAGTAATTACCATTCCCCTGGAGAGACAGGGGGGAAAAAAGGGAAAAAGCACTAACAAGCATTATTCAGGTAGTCCTCGGTTTACAATAGTTGATTTAGTGGCTGTTCAAAGTTACAATGGCATTGAATAAAGTGACTTATGGCCATTTTTCACACATGACCTTTGCGGGCATCTCTATGATCCTGTCATCAAAATCCAGATGCTTGGCAATTGGTCTGTACTTAGGATTGTTGCTGTGACTCAAGGTCATGTGAACATCCAAACAACCAAACTCAGAGAGCACCAAGGATCCCACAGTCCTCCCCCTTCCCCTCTCCCTCTCCCCCTCCTCCTCCCAACCCCCTCCCTTCTAGAACTGATGATGTTCCCTAGTTGGGTCATGAAATATTCTCCTTTATTAAAATAGAGTTTGCAACACTTACGGAATCTGTTCCAGCACAGTCAGGAGGCCACGTTGGGGAGCAACCACACCTGGGACAAAAGTGTTATAGTCCACAACCATCCATTGGTTATTGTACCTGTGTAAAATGAAAACAAAGGGTAAGAGGAGAATATCTATTAAGAAGTTTCTCTGTCTCTCACCCACAGAAGGTCATGGAGAATAAGAAAGCTGTTGCAGTCTGTCGGCAGCCATGTGATTGGCCCTCCCATAAGACATAAAGGAGGAGCAAAGGGACATGAACCTTTGCAGGAAGCAACTTTGTTCGTACTGGTCAGTTTGAAACCTGAAGCTCCATGTTGAATTTGTGCTCCATTTGGTCTTGTACAACTAATTGGCAATTTAGTCATTGGCAGCACTTCAAGGAAGATAAAGGTGCGTGCTTATTAGCCTTATCCCAAAAGATTTTTGCAGACTTCTGTAGGACTATTTACAAACTGTAAATAGAGACTCATTACGGGCTGTGAATGGCTAAAATTCACAGCCATTGAAATAAAGAAAGAAGGTTTTTGGGACTAACATGTGTTTGTTAATCTCTCAGGTCAGAACAAAAGCTAAGATCCTGTGGGACATCTAGGTCCAGATGGACAGAAGATCCTGGCCAACCAACCAACCAACCAGACATCGTGGTAGTTCTCCACAACCTTCTGTGGGATCTCACATCTGGACCTAAGAGGATCTAGCCCATATTCTCTGCAGATGTTTCTGGACATAATAGCCAGCTACTTGGTTGTGTTTTCCATGTACAGGTAAGTCCTCGGCTTACAACCATTCATTTTGACGACCATTTGAAGCACCAGAAGACAAGGGTGATGATAGAAGCACTGTTCAACCCCAAAACTCAAGACCTTTGCCATGCCACCGATATTCTTCAGGAGCCCAACTCACGTGCCACTGTTGAACTTCTCAAAGATGGTCGCCCATTCTGCCCCAGTGCTTGCAAGACGGTTAGCCACAATGTTACGCAACCATTCCAACACACTGTTGTCAGGTTTGATGAATTTCCAAAGCTTATTGTTGTTGTTTCCGATGGTTGTTTCCAGACTCACCTGAAGTAAGAAAACATTCTGAGCATCTCTTCTTAATTAGGTATTAAAACAGTCAGGTCCACATAGGGATTCTTCCCTTTAGATCATATAGATGTTTACTTTAAAAAAAAAAATTATTTCTATCCTGCCTTGATTATTTTGCAAATAACTCAAGGTGGCGATTCCAGCGATCGTCCTAATTAAATCATGAGCCTTGAGCCAAACTTCAAAAAGCTTCAAAGAATTCATTAGGAGTGAACATGTTGGCATGACCTGTATGAAGCCGATTCTGAGACACGTAATTTGCTGTCACCCTTGACCCTGGTTTCCTCCCAACTCCTCTGGGCGTATCATAATTCATATTCTCCAACAAAACACATCCATAGCCAAGAGTCCTCAATCATGTTCACCAATTAGAGATTTGTGTGGCAGAAAGTCCAGTTGCTGAGTTATAATCTTTGCAAGATATGAGTGGAATGCACTTTCGGTTCCAAACTGCTGCCCTGCTCTTTCAAACTTCTTCCCCCCTCCTCTTTTCTGTTGGCAACTATAAAATGGGCATAGAAAATGTCTTATGAGTTGACAACAACATCACTTGTCAGGTGGATTGGGGCTGAGAGAGAGGGATTGGCCCAATGTCATCCAGCTGGCTTTCATGGCTAAGGAGAGACTACAACTCACAATCTCCCAATTTCTAGCCTGGTGCCTTAACTACTAGACCAAACAGGCTCTCTTCCTTATCTTCTCATTCTATTCAATTATTTTTGAAAGACCTACACCTCATTAAAGGTGAATTCTTCAAACCTAAAGACAGATAAATGAATAGAGGGAGGGGCTACAGTTTCCAAACTGTGCATAGCATCAAGGAACCCTAGGATTTGCAGGCTCACTATATCTGGTAAGACAATCCACTGCATCCTACGATGTGTACAACAACCAATGAACAAGAATGGAATGGAATGGAATAGAGTAAGAGTAAGAGTAAGAGTAAGAGTAAGAGTAAGAGTAAGAGTAAGAGTGGAATGGAGTGGAGTAGAGTAGAGTAGAGTAGAGTGGAGTGGAGTGGAGTGGAGTGGAGTGGAGTGGAGTGGAGTGGAGTAGAGTAGAGTGGAGTGGAGTGGAGTGGAGTAGGAGTAGAGTAGAGTAGAGTAGAGTAGAGTAGAATAGAATAGAATAGAATAGAATTCTTTATTGGCCAAGTGTGATTGGACACACAAGGAATTTGTCTCCAGTGCATAAGCTCTCAGTGTACCTACAAACAACCAAGTGATAAGTCATAGATCATAAATCATAGTTACAGTCATTAACTATAAGATACAAACAACATTATGAATCATAAGATACACTGACAGACAAGTGTTTTAACAAATTGATGCCATGGGGGAAAATACCTGCCCTAGCCCAAGCAGAGATGTTTCCCTAGCATTTTAAATTCTTTTTTGGGAAAAAAAAAACCTGTTGTCTACCTGTGTGAACTGGTTAGGGGAGGGGAGGAAATCCTTCTGATCTGGATTAAATTAAATTGTACTTTATTAATTTATTTGTTTCTTTGTGTTAGTTTTTATTGTTTTTAATTTTATTTTATTTTAAATATGGTTCTACATTCCGTAAAGCCGCCTCGAGTCGCCATGGGCAAATAGGCGGCAATATAAATGCAATCAATCAACCAACCAAGCACAGGAGCCTCTGTGGCGCAGTGGTTAGAGTGGAGTACTGCAAGCTACTTCTGCAGCCAGCTGCCTACAATTTGACAGTTCAAATCCCACCAGGCTCAAGGTTGACTCATCCTTCCATCCTTCTGAGGTGGGTAAAATGAGGGCCCAGATTATCTGGGAGTGAGAGGCTGACTCTGTAAACCACTTAGAGAGGGCTGGAAAGCACTATAAAGCGTTATATAAGTCTAAATGCTATTGCTAATCCCCAGGAAGTGGCATGAATTTAAACTGGAACTGGTTCAGCACCCTGGACAGTACTCTGGATACTGGGCCAGGCTTGGCTCTACTTCAGTACTATGGACAGCAACTTACCTGGCTTTATGACTACAATGGGGAGCGGAAATTCTGTGGCTAAGCAAGATGGCTCTTAGGGGCATTGTATCCAACGTTACGGCCTTTCGTCCCGCAGTTGTTAAGCAAAACACGTGGGTCGTTTGACTTTGTGAGAAGCCAGTTGGAAAGTTTACAATGGCAACAGTGTGATCCTGGAACACGGCAAACCTTGTAAATATATGCTAGTTGGCAAATACCCACCAACAACTCACACCACTTACCAATCCGCTACTCAAGATGTAGAAATCGTCGCCGGAAAAAATAGCGCCTGGATACGAAGAGAAAGCTTGGGTGTGACCAGGAATTGTGGTGTCACCTGAAGAACATAAGGCAAACGTCAGTCAGCGCCCATCTACAAACACATATTCCAGGCAAGTTCCCCTTCACAAAATTCAGGGAATCTTTGTCTTACAACGGTTCATTCAGCGACCGTTCAAAGTTACAAGGGCCCTGAAAAAAGTGTCTTTCGACTGGTTTTCCACACTTATGACGGTTGCATGGGGAAACAGGGTCATAGGTGATAATGAATTACGAGTCTCAGAATCGGCTTCATACAGGTCATGCCGACATGTTCGCTCCTAATAAATCCTTTGAAGTTTTTGAAGCTTGGCTCATGATTTAATGAGGGCAACTGCCCGGAATCCTTGACACAAGGCCTCCTGCTTGAGCACGGGGTTGGACTAGATGACCTCCAAGGTCCCTATTACTCTGCTGTTCTAAATGCTTCGCTTTTGAAATGTTCCACTCTTTTTTTTTTTTTTTTTTACTCACTGCGAAGTGAAGTCCGGAAGGGCAGGGTGTATTTTTTGAGAATGCGCAACATGGCTTCGTAATTATTCCACGTGTCGTGTGAAACCAGAAGTTCCTGATGGCCGGGTAAAAGTTTGATGAGCGCTGAGCAGGAGCCTGAACCAAGATTATCCTTCTCTTCGGGTTTATTGAACGCTGATTCCAGGTCTTCGAGATCACCCCCCAGCTGGAACAAGCTAGAAGACCAAAAAATAAATAAAAAATCATAGAATCACATGGCTGGAAGAGACCTTTGGAGGTCTTCTAGCCCAACCCTCCCATTCAAGCAACCCCCCCTATACTATTTCAGACAAATGTTTCTCCAATTTCTTCTTGAAAATCTCCAGTAGTGGAACACCCACAGTTTCTGAAGGCAACTCGTTCTACTGCTCAATTGTTTTCACTGTCAGGAAATTTCACCTGAGTCCTTAGTTTACTTTGTCTCCGCCAACCAAGCAAAATATTTTTCTGCTTGGTTGTCCATCCACCCTGCCTGGTTTATGCAATTCCAAATTCCTGGAAAGTTTTCAGGGCAAGGAGAAGGTTGTTGCTTCTGACCCGGAGTGTCCGCTTAAGGCTCCATCGTTATCTCGGAAGCGATAAGAAGTTAGATCAACACAAGCAGCTTTTAAAACCTCTCAAAATCCAAGGAAGGCTACAATCTGCATGCAAGAACAAGAAATTCATCCAAACGGGGAACATAAGGGATTTCAGAGGTCTTCTAGTTCAACCCCACACACACACATGGAGACCCTATATCATTCTGGATAAATGGCTGTCCAGTCTCTTTTTATTTTAAGCCCAGTGGTGACAACTTTAAGACCTGTGGACTTGGCACTTTTTAAACAGGTAGACTTCAACTCCCAGAATTCCCCAGCCGGCGTACTTCCTCCTCTTTCCTCCCTGTTTTTTTTTGAAAGGTACTTACAGAAAGCCGAAAGGAGCGATAGAGAATCTGCCCGTCGGGAAGGAAATCTGACCATTGTACCCATCCTCGAGGCCTTTCAACTGGAGCAGAACAAGGCGAACCTGGGAATTTGGATGCATCACAGTCAAAGGAGCCGGCCTCAGAGAAAACACATAGCAAACAGTAGTAAAACATGAGCTTCCTCTGGGAAAACAGGTAAAGGTGAGAAAGAAACTCAAGATTGGCCTGCCTTGATTCTCTTTGGTATACTAGCACCTTTAAGACAGGTGGACTTCAACTCCAAGAATTCCCCAGCCAGCACTGTGCCCGTACATTAAGGACTACCTGAATCAGTTAGGGACTAACTGTTTTAAATTATATACCGTATATACCTGATATCAATAATAAATATAATTATATATATTATAATTATATATACAGTCTTTGGACTGTATTGTTTAAATTATTAAACGGGACTAACTGTTTAATATTCACACCTGATACCAATACGCAGAATCCATTCCTGCCTGTTCCATTTGTTCTTCCATCCAATTCAAGTTGGCTTCGATGTAATTTTTCAACTTTTGGCAGTAGTCTGTCTGGTAGGTGAACGGGCCACAGTAGCTAACCACGGTGTTCATCCAATGCATATATACCAGCTGTAAGGCACGGAATAAATAAATAACATGGAAATTTACAAGGCTAAAATCTTCCCAGAAAATCCTGGGGCTAGAAATTCTGATTGATACTCTTACTCTTACTTACTCAGTTTGAGCTCTGGTTTCTACATCTGCACCGCTTTTTCTGACCCTCAGGAGGTGGATTGGAGGTGGATTTCAACTCCCAGAATTCCCCAGCCAGCCAGGAATTCTGGGCGTTGAGGTCCATGCATTTGAAAGCTGCTGTGATGTATAAACCCTGACGGACCCAATATATCCTCACCGGTCTACTGAACAAGTCAGCTGGATTTCCAAGGATGAGGGCTACCCTTCTGTGCATGTTCAGAAGCTTTCTTCTATTCCATAATCCTTCCTAAGATCAGTGTTGGAAGGCGTTAAAAAAGGACAATTACACTCTACCGACAGAAGAGGATATCGGTAGCTCAGGGTTGAACGGTGGGGTCCTTGATGCTCTCTGAGCTTGGCTCTTTTCTTGCAGACATTTCATTACCCAACTAGATTAAATCATCAGTGCTAGAAGGGAGTGGGGTTTGCAGGGAGGAGGAGGGGTGGGAGGAAGAAGGAGGAAGAGGAGGAGAACTGTGGGTCTTTGCTACTCTCTGAGCTTGGTTGTTTTGTTGTAGGCATTTCATTGCCCAGCTAAATAACACCAGCAGTGGAGGAAGAGGAGGAGGAGGAGAAGAAGAAGAAGAAATGAGGAGGGGAAGAAATGAGGAGGAGGAGAGAAGAAGAAAATGAGGAGGAGGGGGAGAAAAGGAGAGGAAGAGGAAGAAGAAGAAGAGAAGAAGAAAATGAGGAGGAGGAGGAGGAGAAAGAGAAGGAGGAGGAGGAGGAGGAGAAATGAGGAGGGGAAAAAAGGAGGAGGAGGAGAGAAGAAGACAATGAGGAGGAGGGGGAGAAAAGGAGAGGAAGAGGAAGAAGATGAAGAGAAGAAGAAAATGAGGAGAAGGAGGAGGAGAAGGAGAAGGAGGAGGAGGAGGAGAAGGAGGAGGAGAAAGAGAAGGAGGAGGAGGAGAAGAAATGAGGAGGGGAAGAAACGAGGAGGAGAAGATGAAGAAGAAAATGAGGAGAAGGAGGAGGAGAAATAGAAGGAGGAGGAGAAAGAGAAAGAGGAGGAGAAGAGGAAGAGGAAGAGGAAGAGGAAGAGGAAGAGGAAGAGGAAGAGGAAGAAGAAGAGGAAGAAGAAGAAGAAGAAGAAGAAGAAGAAGAAGAAGAAGAAGAAGA